ATATAAACCTGCCCCCCACCCCTCCTCTCCGTTACCCCTCCCTTTCGTCCTCCCTCCTCCTTTTGATTCAGTCAACCACACGCAGAAGGAGAACATCCGCCACGCAGCAAAATCAAGACTGTCTACAGAGTAAAAAGAAGAAAAAAGAGGAGGAGGAGGAGGAGGAGGAGGAGGAGGTGGAGGAGGAGAGGGGCAAACAGCTGCAAGCGGATCTTCAACATCAACAAGCTGCATCTGTGAGGAAGAAGACGGGATTTGGAGAGGCCATTGAAAGGGAAGGGATTCCTGGCTCCTGATTTCAACAACAGAGGCGAGGTTTCCACACACACCCACGGAAGAAGAAAAAAAAATAAAAATCCTACAAGTGGTGATGCGATGGTTTAGGGGAGCAATTTGGTAGATTAGACGACGCGGAGAGAGAAATCCCCCCCACCTTCCCTTGAAATACATCTGTGGACGCTTTCTGCAGGGGAGATAGATGGCTGTTTTCCGGCTCTCGCTGCTGCTGCAGGTGGGATTCGTGCTCGGATCGAGCCACATATCCGCGGATTGGTCCGGCACCGGAGCGCAGGAGGCGATCCCCGGCGCTCAGACGCACCGGCGGCAGCTGGCGCAGCTCCGTGCGCAGGAGGCGGCGGGGACGCCGCAAAGGACCGTCGAGGCGCACCTCCCCCGAGAGGTCACGGCTTTCCTCCACACGGGGGACTCGACCACCTTACAGCACGCCAACTGCTCGCGGAAGTACGAGCTCCCCTCCGCGCGGGGAAGGGCGCCGCACGCGGCCCCGCATCACTCCATGAGCGGCGTCCTGGACACGGTGCTGCACGCCACCAACTTCCTCAACATGATCCTGCAAGCCAACAGGTCCAGGGAGCACAACCTCCGGCGAGACATCGAGTGGTACCACGCCTTAGTGAGGAGCATCCTGGAGGGAGACACCATGATCCACCGGGCGGTGGTGACCTTTGGCGGGGGCGCATCCTTCGCGGGGCCCTCGGTGCTCCTCCAAGCCACCAGGGCCGGTGGGGAGATCGTGCTCCAGGACCTCTCCGGCAGCGTGGCGCACCGCCATCTGCACAACCGCAGCGCCGACACGGAGTGGTACCACGAGATGAAGGACGGGAGGAACACCARCTTCCACAAAAGGGTCCTGAGCCAAGATTTGCAGTCTGTGGAGAGGAAACGAGCTGAGAGTTTCATCCCGGACAGAACCCACGTCAGGTGGTCTGCCCCTTACCTGGAGTGTGAAAATGGGAATTTTGTTCCTCGTTGGCTTTTGACTTTATCCGCTGCTTTTTACGGCTTGAAGTCCAACTTGGCACCTGAATTCAGGTAGGAACGCACAGAGACATGCCACTTTTTTAAATGCTTCTTAGATTTTCTTCGCATTAAAACCCACAAATATGAAGTTTAAGATACACTTTTGCAGCGCAAAAATACGAAATGATGATGTCATCCTGAAGGCGAAACACCTGATATAGCTATTAGAATACACCTGCTCCCTTTTACCCCTCCATAGGGTGGCCTCTCATCCCCCTTGTTACAGGAGGGGGCTCTCCTCTCCTCTCCTCTCCTCTCCTCTCCTCTCCTCTCCTCTGACAAGGCGGCAGAAGCTAAAAATAACCCTGATGTTGGATGTAGCTGCCGTGGAAACCTCTGTCTACAGGCCCTAATTCGTTTTTCAGACTCACTTGTCTGGGTGCAGGAAATGTATTTTCTTTTCTCTCCTAAATCTGCTCAACAGCCTAGAAGCAGCCAGCACAGAAAGATAAAGAAAACGTGGATGCAACATGGCTGCAGCTTGAACCACATGTTTTTGGGGTTTCATGCAAGTGTTATAAACCCAAGTTATGGCTCCAGAGGGTCCTGACCAATGAATATTTAATTGTTGTGTTTGTATCACCTTCAACTAATCTTTAATTGATACACCCAAGTAGATTGCAAACAAGACGGGATTGAAAATGAGCCAAAATACCTGATTTTTCAGGCGGTAATATCCCGAACTAAAGCCTCTCAGAGTATCAATCATCGCAAATTAACCCGTAACGCTCCAAGTGATGACTTCAATCTACTTGTCTGCTTTATTTTGCTAAATAAATTGTGTCACAGATAGTGTCTTCCAATTTCATTTATCATCTCCTACTTTTTCAATCCAATGTGATCAAGTCTGCTAAAGAAAAACCACCAAATGCAATACATTCAAACACATTATCAATGATGTAAACAGGTACAGAACAGCTGAAAGTAGAAATAAAATAGTTACTAAGTATAATGTAACTAGTAATAGTTAAAATTTTGTTTTACATAATGATGTGTTTTTAAATAAGATGTCAATAAATGTTTAAGTTTGGCAGAAATTGTGCTTATAAGACAAAATGTTGCCATTTTTGAGGAAAGTGCACACAGTTTGTACGTTTTCTTTCTTCATGCACAAAGCCATAACTTCGTGGTAATGAAATGTTTTTGGAAGTCAGAGATAACCTCACTGCTAATTGTGTCATAACGAACTGAAGCCCGGGCTGATGGTTGAGCTGTTCTAATTGTCACAATGGAATTAAACAGATAACATGTTTTTCTCACTATTCATTAAAGTTAATAGTCACGTAGTGTATTTGTGTTACAACATCACTGAACACCGTGCCAGCTTGGCTTTATCGACTCGTCTTTGAAATTCAAATCGGTCTCCTTTAAAAAGGCATAAAGACTTCCCTCAGTATGGAGGACACAGAGTCACGTTTCTGCGCATTCCGTTGCCCTTTTTTGTCAAATCTCATTCTCCTGTTTTCTTGACAGCCGTCTTTGAGATGCAGCAGCAGACAAGAAACCAAAGCTGAGGGGGAAGTCTGGCTTACACGGGCTATAGCTTCCTCAGATAAATACGCAGTCGATACTGGGATGAATTAATAATGAGTGATGTAGAACGAGTCTGCACAGTTTACTTCCTGTTCGAGATGATGATGCTGTAAGAACACAAGGTGACTTCTCGGGACTTTAATTCAGCCATCATGAAGAAACACAATTTTGAACCAATTCTGCTTTTCTTTATTTTATTTTTTATTGATTTATTTTTGCCTCCAGAAAGCCAGAAGTGTAGCCTCTCTTCATGAACAGTTCTTCCAACCTTCGGAAAAGATTTCATAATGTTATTTTGGACTTTAGCATCAGATGAACAGTACCTATAAATAATAATATGAGTTAAAAGAAAAAAGTCCCACAAAGACCTGACACAGAACTGATGCATCATCTTTTAGCTGAAGTGCTAAAAACTAGAGCTACTAGAATACGTAAAAGCTAAAATATCTCTGTCAAATTGTTTTTTTGTACGTTTTTTATATTCAACTAAAGAAATAACATATTCTGTCTTTGTTACAGACTACCAGTAACAAAAAACACAAAACTTTAACTTAAAATGCATTTGTTAATAAGTTTTTTCAACACATTTCTTGAGTTTAGGAGCTTTTCTGCGTCTGAATGATTCATATATTAGATTCAAATAGTTTAAAGTGGACGTATCATGCTTTTAAATTCTTTTTCACATTGAAATCATTCAGTTGGGGTCTACCGGTATATAAAACTGCAATGCTTTCGTCTCAATTCCTCCCTTTTGTAACTCCAAAAGACAAAGTTTGTTGGGCAGTAAAGTAAATCGTAAAACCAGAGTACCCGGAGAAAACCCACACAGGAACGAGGAGAACATTCAAACTCCACACGGAAAGACTCCAGGACCAAACCAAGGATCAAACCCAGGAACTTTTTGATGCTAGGCATCGGTGCCGTCGTGCTGCCAAATAAAAACAAATAATTAACGACTAAAGAGTAAAACAATGTTTTAAATCTTCCTGTTGAGAAAGTTTGTTGGCCTGAGCATGCAGGGGTGGCAGAAGAAACAAGACCTCCTTTAACGGCAACATTTCATGACCAAAAAAAAAAAAAAAAACGTGGCTACTAATTTTTGCTAACTGCAAAAACAGGAAAACACAAGGTTAGTGACAGCCATTATGGCATTTACACTGAAGGAAAAAACGAGCACAGTTTGAAGGGAAAGTGTTCGCCACTAACTAATGGGAGTTGCTAGAACATAATTTAGCAATCTGTTGTCAGGGGAATGGGGATTCAAAGGAGTTTTCACAGTGCTGTGCAATTTTTGCAGACACGCGTTTCTGATAAATCGACCTGTTATTTCTATAAAAGTGTAAAAAAGAATCACACTTCTCACTTCCTTTCTTTTCTTCCTTGACATTCTCTTCTGCCGCACAGACACAAACACCTTGTGTTTTAACRTTGGCATGTGTGTGTGTGTGCAAGGCATTGTTGGAGTTTCAGATGTTCTGTAGGATGAGCCATCCTAATTGGGAGATCACTCTCAACTCAGACGCAGTGGGAAAAAAAATACAGTCACACAGCAGAGAAAATGAGGCAGTAGGTGGTGCATGTATTCTGTGAACAAACTCGCCTTTCACGGCTCAAGCTTTAATTGCTTTGAGGGTGAAGCTCAGGCAGAAGCAGGAGCAGCGCTACGTTAAGGGGAAATTAATTGAAACAAACTTAAAAAAAAGCATGAGAAAGATTTTTCAGCATATTCTTCCAACGGCCAAATAAGTTGTAATCAGACGTGCAGATCTTTTTATTAGTGCTTCAGATTGGCTGTGCATGCAGAGGAGAGTGCCGGGCTTCGATGGGAGCAGAGTGGGAGGCTTTGAGCTCCAGGAGGAGCCAGCAGCATCTGCTTCCATGGACTCTGTCCAGAAACAAATAGGAAGAAACCCCAACAGTTCCGGAGGCTAAATATGATAATGTTTGATGCTAAACTGAGCTGAAGCAGTGTAGGTGTAAAAAAGAAAAAGAAAGAAAGAAGTTATTCAAGAGGAAATTCTGTGAATATTCGCAGGTTGGCATGGCACTAAAACACTCCACTGAGCTCTTTAAACCCAATGAGGACTGAAGCACGGTGAAACGGTAAATAATGAGTCTAACCTTATACCAAGCAAGCATTAAAGTTCCCTGAGGTGCTCCTCCTGACGTCAGTGGGGCTTCTCTGCTCAGTCAGGTGGTCTGTCGATACGATGTCCTGTAAATGTCAGCCGTACAGAAAATAGAACCACACAGGTTTTCTGCTGCTGTAAACAGAGATATTACAGACATATTCTGAAGGATTTCTGTGAACAATATCATATTAAATTCATAATATAACGCACAGTGGAAAGGGTTTTATTTTTTTATCTTTTGCAAATCTGCTAGCAGTTTGTCAAAAGTAGTAACTAGCCAGCTTTCACTCAACAAACCTGAAGTTAAAACTGGTTCTTTGATGAGTTGTTTGGTGTTTGTGGACACAACAATGGTTCATCTCTTAAGTTTTAGGAGCCTTTGAATGCCTGAAGAATTTACAGAGCCAAAATTAACTGGCCAAACAGGAAACTCCACTAAAAATGATCAGCGATTCAAAATAAGTGAAAAAGTAAAGTTACTACTTAAAACTACTGTGTTGATTAAGACGCGTTTTAAAAAGTCCAAGAAAATAACGATTGCTTGGAAGCAAAATTAAAAAAAAAAAAGCGATGACTCAAAATGTGTTTTCTTCCCATAAAAAAGCAAAATTTGAAGCCATAATTTTTGTAAATATTTGCTCTCTGTTTGGGTTCTTTTAGGGAGAAAAAAGGACTTACATCAAGGCATTTTTTATTAAATAATTTATTTTCTCTTTGGACGCAAAATGTAAATAGATGAAGGATTCTGTTGTAGGTGATAGTTTATCCTTTAGAAAATAGAGTCTGTATTAAATTGTGTGCAGATTCTTGAAAGTTTTTGAAGATAAATTTAGTCACTTATACGTTCTTACAGGTTGACAAAATACAAAAAAAATATTTATGTAGTGGCTAATTGTAATGCAGGACATAAACACAAGCAGAGTTGGGTAATGTTGACATAAAAATGTATCACAATAAATTGTGGTACTTTGATGATTTTATGACAATTAGATGACAATTAGACTTACCCCTAATTTACACTACATGCGTTCCGGCTCCGCAGCAAATACACACCCATTATAATCAATGAGAGTGTTAACACTGGCTGCGCACGAGGCGGGAAGCGTCGGGGAGCAGACGGCGATCCGGCAAAATTAGAACAGATCCTTTTTTGCCAGATGCAGGGGCTGCGCCGGAGTCAATTTTTAAAGATTACGTCGCACCAACAGGAAAAGAAACAAGCACAACATCCGTATTTTCAAAATAAGACACTTTTAGGCTGGATAATTTGTCGGAATAATGTCAAAATTGCAGATATATTAATAAACATATGGATATATTTCTACACAAATGCTGTCAAAATGTATCGTTCTGTTTGGAAAGCAGATGGAAACGTTTAGCATGAAGCATTTGTGTGGACACACGATACACGTGGATTTTATTTTGAAATCAGAAGTTTCAGAAAGACTACAGCGAGACAGTTTCAACATAGAAATCAAAAGCCTTTATATCATTGTTTTCAGTTGTGTTTGGAGTTCGTCTTTYACAGAATTTATTATTTTTTGCTGTTATCACTGAATTTATCGCGCAATCTCCTTCCTGCACACTCTGTCGGACCGGAGCGGACGCTGTATAAATTGAGACACAAACGAACAGCTGAGACCTGCGCACCGCAGCGCAGCGGAGCAGAGACACATGTAGTATAAATCCAGGGTAAGCCAACGTGTGGCTTTGGTCCACATTTTCTGTCTTTCTTCACACTCCGGTTTATGTCTGTGTTTCCGGTGAGTAAAGAAGTTTGTAGTTTTAGTAGTGGGGTTAGGGTTAGCTCTGCTGTGCCTTCCACCACTGGACTCACATGTGCACCTGAAAATACATCATCACGTGGTACTAATGGCAGTAACTGCAAAGTGGCAAAAAATTAATTGTTGACAGTTTTACTGCCGATTTATTGCACATGATGCAATTTTGCCAAACCCTGCTGAAGAGATGAACAATAATTTGCAGTTTTGAAAAATCTTGCATCATGGTCTGTAACTTAAAGACACATAAGCTTTTGTACTTTTTTGTTAGGAAAACATCAATAGCTTCAGGTAAGTTGTACAGTAATCCAAGTGAACATTAAAGTTACTATGAGTTATTAGGAAAAGTTTGTGAGATAATGAATCTAAACACTCCACTTTGTTCTTAGAAGGCGTCTTTGAAAGGTTTGCACAATCTGGAATAAAAAGAACCAGCTCTATGAAAATGGAAGCAGTCTTCCATCTTCCCCCCCATGGGTGCCGAATCTTTTTTGATGCTCGGCGACAGAACTCAATAAAATGACCCGAGCTGCACCGAAATGCTAGTAGACAAGCAGCTTTGTGCCCAGCGGCTTGACTCACATTAGCTTTGGCGCGTCCTGTCAGCTTAATGCATTTCCATCACGGAGGAGACATTTTCATTGGGAAGGCTGAGTGGCTCTAGCTTTGTGAGCGTTCTGTGACGCATAAACGGTGCCCTCCTTAGAGGACAGGCAGTGCTCTTATAAGACACCAGGCCTGGAGGGGTGCGTGCCCGAGCTCCAGAGTATTTCCAGCCAATTAAATAAATCTAATACACCCTGTATAATTACGTACCTTATGCTATTATTGACTTTACAATATTTGAGCAAAGTACATAAAGATCAGCAGTGTCTTTGAAATGATTAAGAGGAGTTGTGAGCCGTCACATCAAACTGACTATTAAATCCCAGTGTGGTTTGTGGAAAAATAGACAGCTATTAAAACATTTGCAACAGTTGAATTTTGTCAACATGTAATGAATAAATACCTAATTTATGGCTTGTTTAAATGAAATATCTAAAACATAATCTTAAATATTTTTTGAAGCCTTTTTTTCAGCAATATGATTTTGAGCAGAAAAGCCTACATTTTTTGTCATTTTCTCTTTGCACTAGCAAAGTTTTTTCTTCCCAGCTGTTAAATTTTAATATTCACAATTTGATTGAGGTTTCCCATTTAAAACAACGTAAAAAATCCTCCTAAAATAACCTAAAAATGTAAATGGGTTAACCTGATTAGGAAGACAAATCAAGCCATAGTTCTAGAAGAGGTGTGTAAAGCACTTGAAAAAAAGAACTAAGTAAAGTAAAAATACTTTCACAGAAAATGACTTGTAAAAATGAATTTTACTGATAAGAAAAGTACTTAAGTAAAATACATAAAGCTGCTCACAATAATCAGGATAATAAAAGTACTTTTATACACTCTTAAAAAGTGTTTAATTTACTTAACCAAATTATATCAACTGGCTCCACTAAACTGAGTTGAGTGAATTGAACAATTTTCACATTTTCTTTAAGAGAAACATTTACATTTATTTGCATTTTGTTTGCATTCATTTACATTTGCTTTAGAGAGTGCATAAACAACTGTTTTCATGATCAGTTCCAGTCAAATTTAATTTTGTAGTGTGAAATGATGTGCTAATGTTTGAAGTAAATAAGTAAAAGTACCATTTTTATGTTTTGAATGTAACAAAATAAAATCAAAAGTTACGATTAAAATAAATACTTATAGATCCTCAAATGTTTTTGTTAAGTACTATGATGAAGTAAATGTACTTCATAGGGTTGGGCAACATTGACAAAATAATTTTTCATTATTAATTGTAGCATTTAGCCAATGATTTAATATGAACATTTATAGAAGACTAATGCTTTTGCATATTTTTGACTCTAAATCAATTATGATACAATTTAGCCCAACACTAGTACTTTGTTACTACACACCTCTGTCTGGAACCACTCATGTCGGGATGGTCTATGCATCAAAATGTATCTTATAAAGCCAGGAATCTGAAAATGTGCTTACCGTATTTATTCAAGTATAATAAGTAAAATTAAATCCATAAAACCATCCATAAGGTTGGGGGGTAGTACTATACTCCAATAAATATTTTCACTTATGTATTTTACCTGAAATATCGGCTTCATTCACAAAATGCCTGAGTCCTGAAATGAGACCACGTCGTAAAAAGCAGTTGAAGTGAACTTACCTCTGACGCTCCTCTGTGCTTCAGAAAGATAATAACAGATCCAGGCAGGTGACATGATGTGAAAAAAACGTATAAAAGAAAGCAGTCCTGCACCTTAGTAATGATAATGAACTAAAGACATTAGCGTGTGACCGAGCCGCTCCTGGAACAACAACAAACACATGTTCGTCTGTAATGGCTGCCATCTACTGGTGTTCTGAAAAAGTTTATATCCCTGAAAAAAAGTTTCCCCACCAGAGGGGGCGCTCACGAGTAGGAAGTAATCTGCTTTTCCCCCACAAGATGGCCCAAATCTCATGTGAAGTCTCTGACTTTTGTGTTGGCATCCTGGTGGGCTATGTGTAAAATGCCAGAATTCATATGATGCTGATATGCAGTATACTGTATTTGTTGTCAAAATACCTTTTAGTACATATGTTGTTAAAATAAAATGAACAGTCCAATGATCATTTTTTACTGATATGTATAAAGACTGCAAAGGCTGAAAATCTTGAAGTCTGTAGGAAATTGGAGATAGTTTGAGGATTACATTTTTTATGCTTTTTAAGCTAAAAAAAAGGGGGGGGGTTGTATTATACATGAGATCGTATTATATACAAATAAATACGATAGGCCATTTTGACCAAATTTGACATATTCCTCAGTTTGATGTGATGAGTCACAATTTATGATTTATTGCAGCTATCAGATTTGACTTATGCAGCTTTTTTACAGAAAAAAATACTTCTGTCACCTGTTTGCATCAAAACGTTTGTTTGGGTGAACCTGAAATAGGTTCGCAGCATGAATTCTAATTAACAAACTCAAATGCAGAGACTATTATCTGTTACTGATAGTGACATGTCATGAGCCTGGTAGTCAGTTTCATTCAAACTCACATTAAGGTCCAACTTGTTGTAAAAAGGGACCATGGAAGCCTTCACTCTGAGCCTGTTTCGACCAATACCCCCTTTGTAGCTCATAAACCATTGAGCAGAGCAGATCTACCATTAACTTTATAAGGTTTAAACAAACATTAGAACAAAATGTCAGAAAGAGCAGAACCCCTGCTGCTGGGATGCCCCTCCCTCTTCACTGGGCTGGCCTTTAAACTCACAAAGAATGGTGGATGAAAGGATTGAACACGCTGTATCCTGGGGCATCACTATCTCCAACTCTCTGTGATAATCCTGTCTTTACCCCCACAGTTTCACAACTACCCTAATTACATGAGGGGATTTCTGTTTCTACTGGAACAAAACTGTTAATTGACTTTATATCAATAATGCTCCAATTCAAGTTTACACCTAATTGCTACAAAGAGGTCATGAAGAAATTCCTTCCAGTGACCAATAGACTTTATTTTCATGTGAAGTTTATGGAGAAAATAAAGTCCAACTTCTGTGAATTGTAAAGTTTGATGTATCAGAACAAAATAAAAAAAACTATCTGGTCTTCCCCAGATTCTAAAATTATTCAAAATTAGCTATAATGAATGAAAACCGAAACTGAAACAAGCATTTCAGAAGACTTCTGCAACAATGTCTTCTGGACATATTCCACAGTCAAATGTGAGGCCATCTGTCTGACAGGTGAAGACTAGACAAAACTGGATCATTCGGCTGACAATAATCCCAAACACAGCAAAAAACCTGCAACTTAATGGCTGAAAGACAAACCAATCAAGGGGCTGCAGTGGTCCAATCAAGGACCGGCTGTGGTGGGACCTTAAAAACTCAGAAAATAATTATCTTAAATTATCTTAATAATTATCTTAAAACCTCAGTGAAGCAAATTTGGAAAGATGAATGGGTCAAAATTCCTCCATAATCACTTTCAAATTCATAGAGAAAACAACAGTTGCTGCTATGAGCTATGAGGTGCAGACAGGTGTTATGAGGTCATAGTTTTTTGATTTGACAAAATAATTTTCCATCTGCCTTAATGTCTGCTGGTACATCTCAATGTGGTGAATCCAATCAGACAAATAGTGTGGACAAACCCGATGAGCCGAGCTATTAGCTTCTCCAAGATCAATTCTATCTCGCCAGCAAAGTCCAGGAATGACATTCGGCCCACGACCCCCACCAGAACCGCTTGCAGACCGAGTCCAGCTCGCACAAGGCTAAAGTCTGTGTGCTGAAAGCACAGCAATCCTTCATATTGGTCATGCAGCCAGAAATTGGCCTGAATAGTCATCAACGTTGTTTTGTAGAACATCAGGAGATCACCAAGCCAATCTGTAGAAATCCAGTGATCAGAATCCAAACATATATCCAGCTAGTTGAACAGAGCAGAACAGAGGTCCAAACTTTATTAAGAGACCAGCTGTCGGGTCTTGGGGGTCTGTGCAGCTCTAGGGCGGGNCCGCGAAGCCACTGCTCGCGCTCCTCGTAGCCACTTTCCAAAAATTATGAGCCAGCATTTGCAATGCGTGAGTTCTCAGCCATTATCTCTGTGTCAAGCCCAGCAGACGCTCTCTCTTTCCCTCTTTCCTCATTGCAAGCTATTTTAAACGCCATATGTCTACTTTGGCTGGGGATGCCAAAGACCACCCGGGGAGTTGGAAGCAGAAGCGACGAAAAAGGAGGTGATTGCGTGAAAAAGAAAACAGACCATTTTCTTCTTTATTTACTCTGCAGGTTTAAAAACGCCAACCCTGAGAAAGCAATAATCCTTAAGCTGTGACCAAAAACAGACATTTTGATGAATCCTGCATCACAAACAAATGGCCATATTCCTGCGCTCTGTGTTTCCTGTTATATAACAAAGAATTGGAAGCAATTTCTCAGCTAAACAACCAACAGTGCAGGAGAAAAACACTGAGGTCAGCTTGCCCCAAGGAAGGACCAAAGCAGCTGTTATTAATACCAGAAATACAAGCAAAGAGAGCCGTGCACTCGCCTGGTGTGCCCACTGGGAGCTGGGTGTAGCAATACGGCTGCTGCACACCTGGAGAACATGCCAAAGCAGCAATATTTGTGGAATTGTGTGAGTGTGTCTGCCCAAGCCAACAAAACAGAATCGGTCAAGAATTTTTTTCTGTCTTGTTGTAAGTATTTACAGTAATATGCATTAAAAAAGATTGTGGCCAAGTTGTAATCTTTAAATATACATATTTTTTGTTTGGTTTAAGGTGTGTTTATGCATACACATCACAAAATAAGTCACAATAAATTCAAAAATGTCAGTTTAGAAAATAAATAGACACTACTTTTGTCTCATATTCGCTACAGTTAGGTCTATATCTATTTGGACACTGAAACAAAGTTTGTTTTATTTACTTGTTTACTGAAACATATTTATATTATGGACATAGACATACATAAACTCCAGTCTTTCTGCTTTCATTTGAGGTTATCTATAATAAAATTGGATGAAGGGTTTTGGAGTTCAGCTCCTTAACATGTGCCACCCTGTTTTTAAAGGGACCAAAAGTAATTGGACAATTGACTCAAAGGCTATTTCATGGGCAGGTGTTGACAATTCCTTTGCTATCCTTCTCAATGAGGCAAACACAAGGGCTGGAGTTTATTTGGAGCTGGAGTCTTGCATTTAGAAGATTTTGCTGTGTAGAAAACATGTGGTGAAAGGAGCTCTCCATGCAGGTGAAACAAGCCATCCTTAAGCTGCGAAAACAGAAAAAAAATTGAAAAATTGCTACAATATTAGGAGTGGCAAAATCTACACTTTGGTGCATCCTTCACAACAGCCAACCAAATAAACAACACTCTCCAGGAGGTAGGCATATTAATATCCAACTGTACCATAAAGAGAAGACTGCATGAAATTAAGTACAGAGGGTACATTGCACCGTGCAAGCCACTCGTAAGCCTCAAGAATAAAAAGGCTAGATTGGACTTTGCTAAAAAAAAATTTTTTTAAAAAAATTCTTAAAAAGCCAACACAGTTCTGGAAGAACATTTTTTAGACAGATTAAACCAAGATCAATTTCTACCAAACTGATGGATAAAAAAATGGTAAAGGCATGGGGCACCTCATGAGCCAAAGCATACCACATCTGTAAAACACGGCAGATGCAGTGTGATGGCTTGGACAGGACTGTCCATGGCACTGGCCCACAAGGATTTATTGATGATGTGACACAGGAAAAAAGCAGTCGAATGAATTCTGAGGTATTCAGAGACAGACTGTGTGCTCAAATGCAGCCAAACTGATTGGTCAGCGCTTTGTAATACCGATGGACAATCACTCAAAACATAAAGCCAAAGCAACCCAGGAGTTTATTAAAGCAAAGGAGTGGAATATTCTTGAATGGTCACCTGATCTCAACCCAGTTGAGCATTTCACTTGTTAAAGACTAAACTTCAGACAGAAAGGCCCACAAACAGCAACTGAAAATCGCTGCAGTGGAGGCCTGGCAGAGCATTAAAAAGGAGGAAACACTGCGTCTGGTGATATCC